AAAAAATCAGTATTAAGAATCATAAATATCGAATTAGAGAAAGCTATTAGTACAAATAACAGAATAATTGTAATACTATAATCTACATCTGTTATCTTTCATATATATGCTGTTATTTTTTCTTTGTTTATAGAAGGATACATCTTTAAATACTTTACTATGAGTACTGATAGACAATTTGTTATAAAATACATTGAAAAATGAGTTGAAGGAGAGTTATTTAAATTATTGTGAAATAGTTCTTGTTTACATTATTGTTCACAAAAATGTTATAATTGTTAATTGATTATATTCATCATCACCATTTAATAAAAATTCTTCAAGCCAAATTTTTTTTTTTAATTCTCATTAGGTTTGATTTCAGAAAATGGAATTCAAATTATAACATTTTTAATTAGTTTTACAATTCTTTAAAATAAATTGTTAAAAATATTATTTTGAGAGTTAACTAATTTACAAGGGTTTAAAAAGTTTAAAGTTTAAAATAAAAATAGTGAAGACGAACATACTCATTGAAGCCATATTTTATACTTATTTCTTTTCTAGGTCCATTCAAAAAACAACAATTCCAAAATGATAATGGAAACCAATCTATAATACCCTTACTCTGTTTCTTCAAAAAAAGCATGGAAAATAAAAATATTGAGTTGAAGATGTTATTGACCATTCTTTCTAAAATATGATGTGACCAGAAAAAAAAAGTCATTTTTTTTACTGAAAAGAGAACTTTAATGAAAAGCAAATAAATTTATAAATGGCAAGGATATTATATATAACTTGAATTTAGACTATATCTGCAAAAAGAAATTGCACTATTCAAGAAAACATTTTTGAAATTAATTATTTATATTTAATAATTGATTAAAATATAGATTATATTTTAAGCTGAGATGCATAAAAACCAAATCATATATTACAACCCTTGGTGTATATTTTAAAGTAGTAAATGAAGGAAAGATTAGTTATTTATTTCTTATTCAATTTATGCTTTAATAAAAAAGTAAAAAGAATCAAAATTAGAAAGAATAGTGAATGTTATACATTTAAATCAATCTCGAAAATAAATTGAATTAATATATTCACATTTTTACCTAAGATAATCTTAATATTAAGGTTTTAAGTTGAACCAAGAAGAGGATTATTAATTATTTGTCTTAATTTATATTATATTTCGACCAAGTTAACGCTTCTTATTTTAGGTTTTATACTTCGATATTATAAAGTCAAGGAAAAAATGCATTCCTAAATGAAAAATATCAATTATGCTTAAGAAACGAGTAAGAAATAAAAAATAATTACCGAAAAATGCTTTCGTTAAATAAATTATATTTATAATTTTATTAGAGCTATATTTTCTTCCTCAATCCTTTAATTTCAAATAATTTGCCAATAAAAACTACTTTCACCCGTAAATTCTCCTTCATAATATAATATAATATAAAATGAATAAATTTTTAATATTTTTATATAATAATTTATTCTTCTTTGTCATACTTCATTATATTTTCTAATTTAAATCTAATTTGATTTCCCATCCCATGTAATTAAATACTCTCCATCATCACTCATTACTCCAAATAAATGATAATTTCCAAAATGAATAGATTATTCAGTAACAAACTCTCCATTTTATTTTTTACTTATTAAATTCACATATTCTCCACTCTTACTCATAAGCATGCATTTTTAATATATATATTATTAAGGAAATAAACAATTACCATCTGATCCACATTTAATATTGATATCTTTAATTTTGATATACTTATTATTTATGCTGTTAATCTCAAAAATAGACATCTATTCTTTACCATATGGTTAGAATGTGAACATATTGTTATCCATAAAACATATTCTATATCCATATTATTCGACTGTAATCTTTTATATTACAATCCATTCTTTATTCTAATGTGATTGTTCTATTATTAATATCTATTTATCTCCACCACAAGATATAACTCTATTTTATTATTAATTTAAACTTAATCCATAAACATCACTAGAATGATCTGTAATTGTTTATGAGCACAACCATTCATTCTTCTTCATCCAAAATTTAATAGTCTTATCAACACTACCTGATATAATGATATCTTCATTATTATTTAATATTAAACAATAGATAACAGAATTATGTCCATTTAATCTCTATTACAAAATCCATTAATTATTTTAATTATTTTACCATATAATAATAGAATTATCAGCACTCCCTGATATAAATTAATTCTACTTTTTCATGAAGTTTAAAGTATTCACATCATTCTTATGTTCAGTTAATATTTAAATTTTTTTGAGCATTCCTTGTTTAAATTCAAATACTTTAATTAATGAGTAACATCCAGCCAACAATGTTGAACAATCTTTATTAATAGCTATTGCACAACAATATTCACTTTATGAAACTGAATATTGTTGGATATGTTAATAGGTGAATGGTTTTAAATTTTGTTTTAAGATGTTTACTTGATTATTTTATTGCTAAATCAATGGTTTCATCATTGAAGGTTATTGAAGTTATAAATTAATTTACTACTTTTGATCTGTTTAATTCTTGGCCTTTTTTAATATTTCATCTACAATTTATTTAACCTATTTGATTGATTATTTGAGTTGGTAAAATTATTATTATTCAAAAACTTCCATTAAACATAAACCCTTAATTATATTATTAATTTAAGAAATTCCTAATTATTCTATATTAATGTTAAAGTAAGGAAGAAAAATATTTATTAGACTATCAAAGACTGATTTGAACTCTTAAACATTCTTTTATACATCATTCATACTGAGTATTCGTCTTTAAATCCATTCATTTAAGTTTTCCAAAGTTATTAATTTGTTAACATGTTAAACATGATGAGGTAAACAATAATGACAATAAGGTCTTTGATATTGGCAGTTGCTTTCAATACAAATTCCTATTATTTACTAATTTTGATGATCAGCTTAAGTACATCTTATCTACATTTTGTAATTCTATTAAAATTAAAATTAAAATATTAAAAAATTATTTTTGATTATAAACTTCACAAATTAATTAATATAATTAGATATGATTTTAAAAAATGAATTAAACCTTGATGATTAATATCTTTTTTTGGATATAATTATTATAATATTGAAGAAAATTAGGAAACAATTGAAATAATTATTTGTAAGCAGAGATTAAAAAAGATAGATATAAATTTTTAATCGATGAACTAATTTAAATCTCAAATTGAGTTAAATTTTTAGAAAGATTTGTAATTTAAACATAACAAGCTTATAAAAATATTTATGTATAAAAAATAAGCACATTAATCCACTAAAATATTTTTTCTATTTTTTCATATATCATTTAAAGTTGGTTGAAAAATTTGACATTATTAATTTTTGATAAATAAATTTTGTAAACTATTTAATTTAATTTAATTCATTATATTTGATACTAGGCGAATAAATTTATAAAAACATATTCTTATTAAAAAAAATAAGTGGAATTAGTTAATGGTGAAAAATGCTGAATCAATAATCATATTCTAATAGCAGTCTAAAATTATATTTAATATACTTTTTTAAATAATT